GGATAAAGACGATATGGCATATGTATACATACCATGGAATATTATTCACCGATCAAAAGGAATGAAATCTTGCCATTTGCCACAACATGGATAGAACTAGGATGCATTTATTATGCTAAATGAAGTCAGAAGGTAAATATCATTATGATTTCACTCATACGTGGAATTTAAGAAACCAAACAGATGAACATAGGGGAAAGGAAGGAAAATAAGATAAAAACAGAGAGGGAGGCAAACCATAAGAGACTCTTTTTTTGTTTTAAGTTTATTTATTTTGAGAGAGAGGTGAAGAAAAAATCCCAAGCAGGCTCTGTGCCATCAGCAGAGCTCGATATGGGGCTTAATCCCACGAACCATGAGATCATGACCTGAGCTGAGATCAAGAGTCAGATGCGTAAATGACTGAGCCACCCAGGTACCCCAAGAAAGTCTTACATACAGAGAACAGGATTGCTGGAGGGGTGCTGTGTGTGTGTGGAGGGAATGAGCACTGGGTGTTATATGTAAGTGATGAAACACTAAATTCTACTCCTGAAACCATTATTACATTATATGTTAACTTGGGTTTAAATTAAAAAATAAAAATTTTTAGAAAATCAGCACAGTCTAGCATTTTTTAATTAATAAAGATTCCTTAAGATGCCAAAAAGTATAATCCTTGAAAGTCATGTCATTTCAAGTATGAGAAAATATCCATGACATATTAAAAAAAAAGAAAGAAAAACGTTACAGCATTATTTTAATTGGGAGCAGTGAGGACTACACCTTGAAACTTACCACTCAAGCCAAAAAGTTCTTTTCAAAACCCTATTAATTCAAAAGCAAGTTTTTGCTCACTTTAATAAATGAAATGTCCTTTTCTAAATCACACCCACCCTTGAAGGCTAAATTTAAATCATTCCTCCAAATGATCTCTACTGTGTCTCCTCACATTGATCGCCACTATTTCTAAGTATGTACACATTTATAATCTTACAATTCCCACACATCTGGGTACTATCTTCCATTATGTAACTATTCCAGGTGTGTATGGACATTTCATACATTTGGGCATTGTGCTCTACACTCAAAATTCTTTGTCCCTGTGAATGTCAAGAACTATATATATATATATATATATATATACACACACACACACACACACACATATATATACACACACACACACACATATATACACATATATATGTACGTATATACATATATACATACATACGTATGTATGTATTTTTCTTGAGTCAAACAGGTCTGTCCTATTGCTCCAAAGGACAGGTAACCAGAGAGTAAGAAAAAACACACCCCTGTCGGTTTAGCCCAATATTAATTCCTTTATCTTAACAGGAGCTGGCCTGAGAGTAAAGAGCTCATTTTGAGCACCCTTGGTATGAAATGTTATACCAGTAAAACTGTTAACTCCTTGCCTTCTAATATCTTGACAGCGCTACCTATTCACTTATTCAAACATGCAGTATATATTTATTGAACAAATACTACATTACTGTGGCTAAGACATGGGCCCTAAAGTAATTGAACTCAGTGGAGAATAAATACAAACACAGGGAATTATAACATGTTGTGCTGCATGTAAAAATATAACCCAAACATTAAAGAAACAGAACAGATAGGTACCAATGAAACGGGAAAGGTGAGATTAATGATAAGGACAGAAATGGATTCCTCGAGAAGCTGCCTGAACTGAAAGTCTTAAAAAGTAGAGAGATTTAACTAGGGAAAGATTGAGTTACAGAAGAAATTGTATGAAGTCTACAGATAGTTCACCATTTTTAAGAGGAAAGCCACAGAGAGGAAACAGTAAGATACTGTTAATACAGTAGACCCTCATTAAGTGACCAGCTGGCTGAATCCAACAGACATTTAAAATAAGACAAAGCTATAGAAGATACCAATTTCCACTGAACTTTTATTTCCTCTCCTATAAAACAGGGATAATGATGCTTATACCTCCTGGAGTTATGAGATTTAAAGGAGACAAATGAATAGTTGGTGGTACACATTACATTCTATTTGTCTCTTCTCACCTGGGTAGTTGCTAGTCCATTGCTAATACTGAATCCATTAATTGTTATCTGGATTTGCCCTCTGTTAATCATTTCAATAACTGCTTCTGCAATAGTATTCATAGGAATAACAGGCATATTAAGAGCTGTATTACTGCTGTCCCCATTGTCTCCTCCATCAGGACATTTCATCTTTAAGAAAAACAACAAAACGTATCATTAGGGAAAAGATCCCAAATGCAGATAACTTTGTTTCAATGACAATATTGACCAGGTTCTGACCTTGACAATTTTCACATCTGGCAGACTATCAAGAAATGCTTTGAGGTCGATGCCATTCAGAACAATCCGATTGTCATAAATGTGCCCATTGGACTTAAAATCGATGACTGCTTTTTTCTAATCAAAAAAAAAAAAAAAGTTTGACACACATATCTTTTAGGATGCATAGAGACAATAGCAAGGAAATAAATGACTACAGTTCTTTGCAATTCCCACATAGCACTGTTTTTCTACCTACCTTCAAGTGAGGGAACATATTGGCATGATCACCAATAAAGAATGTATGTGGCATATAAGCCAGTTTCTCGGAATACTGCTCAGCAACTTCAGCTGGAGAAGTTTCCTGATCAGTGATGATATAATCCATGAAAAGCGCACCACTAGTCCCAGGGTATCCCAGCCACATTGCCTAAAAGAAAGAAAAAATTAGGCCAAAAACTAAAAACCTTCCATAGGAGTCCTAAATTAAATAAGTAAAGAAACAAACAAGGAGGGATGACTTCTTTAGCCAAGAGGAATCAAGTAATATTTTAGTCTAACCTTCTAAGTGCTAAAATGTTTTTTCCGATATACAAGACAGAACCATTTGCACCCAAGTATGAATTGCAGATTTCCATACACATGTACCTGTGGGCATTGTATTCTACACTCAGAATTCTTTGTCCCTGTGCATTTCAAGAACTATTCTTTGTTCATTTTATTTTAGAGAAAGCGCAAGCAGGGTAAAGGGGCACAGGAAGAGGGGAAATAGGGGGAGAAGAGGAGGAAAGGGGAGAAGGGAGGGGGAGGGAG